CATCATAATTTTTTTTCTTTTTTTCTTTTCCTCTTCTTTTTTTCTCACACATAATTCCCTTTTGTCCTTCAGGTCTTAATTGCAATTCATTATTATTTTTGTGAAGAGCAGCTTCATGAAGGCAAAGAGTTAAAGACGTCACTTTAAATGACAAAAGCTGAACACTTTACCCCACTTTCAGTCTCTCATCTATTCATCCTTTTCATTGTGAACTTCGCTATTTCAGCTTTCTAAGCTCTTCAACTACCTGCCCCTAATTTGTATTCCTGGGAAGAGGCCTAGGCTAGTTATTTTGCATTTGTGTGCTAATGGTGCTGAGTTTGCTTCTAAGAGGAGAACAGGGAGGGGAGGGCAGGAACCTCCAAAAGGGTTTAAGTGGGAGTGGGGGTGAAGGTGCAGGAAGGGTTGTTTGGGGGAGAGTCATGCTGAATTTTAACCCTGAATGCTTTCTTATACAATTTCGTACAAAGCCCTTCTGATTATATGGAAAATGACACCCTGTGAAAACTTGCCTGTTCATATACACCTTTTAAACAAATAGGCTAGTCAAGTATCTGGAAAACCTGAGAGACAGTTGGGTCATCTTTTTATTAATACATTAAATCATGACATACATTTTTCAAAGGGTTTTTTTTTGTTGTTGGTTGGTTGTTGGTTTTTTTTTTTTACATATTCCCTTGAAAATTATGTAACTTATTCAAAGTATGAACAGCATTCTGAAATACATTTATTAATGGAAACAGTCTGTATATGTACATGTAAATGATAGTAGTGCAACCCTGCTCTGCTTTGTTTGATAAAACCCTTTACTTTCACAGGGTTAATTTTGCCTGTGTGCTTAGATGCCATGTGAGATAAAATACCTTTCATTAGATTAAATAGGCAAACAGAGGCTTTTTGACTTACTGACTAGTATTTCAAAGCCGAGCATTTCTTATGCTAATCATTTTTATAACTAATTTAACAGACGTAAAAGAATGTCATTATGAATAATTAGCGATGTTAGTAATTTAGTTTCTAATTAACCAGGGATGTGGCAGACCATTACAGATGGGAATTCTCATTAGCCATGAGAGGCATGGGCGTTTTGCTGCTTATTATAGATTCTGCCTGTATTTAAAAATGGTTTGGTTGCTCACAGTTTTTAATGTGAAGCACTTTCACGTCATGCTGCTGGGTGCATCAGTTTGTTACACTTTGTCACACTGTAAACCAGACAACTATGTAAAGCACCTGATGCAACCAAGTGTGTAGGCAGTCATTTTCCATTTCATGAATTATTGCATGACAGTAGTTCTCACCCCAACTCCACACCCAAGAGGTGGATTTGCAAATGGGGCATTTTTCTTTTGCAGGTGTAAGTTGCTTGCAATACAATTAAGCACAGACATACTAAATCTTCAGATCTGTGTCCATGATTAATTTTCTGCATAAAAATGAAAGAGACCCTACCCACTTATGTCCCCCCCGTCTCTCTGAGCTTGTGACATACTTTTACAGAACTACTGCAGTCTCCATACCATCTATTTCCCCCGGCATAGGCTTCCACTAGTGTCTGCACAACAGTTCTGGGGAATGAAAAAGGCTGCTCCTTTACACTCTTATATACCCTGAGTGAAATTCCACACACCACTACTGTTTCTGCTCTTATTACTTTTTGTTTTCTTTAGTGACAATTTCCAAAATTATTACTTATTTGAAATGTTTAAATTCTCTTTCAATAAGATCCAGTGAAAATACAGCCATCTAGAGAAAGGGTTTTCTTCCATTTGAAAAAAACTTTAATATGTATTATATAATAATATGCATTTATGTGCATTTTCAGTTTCTCAGATACTCCAAAACATTTGCAATCAGTACTGCCAGCTTCTTTGGAAAAGACACTAAACACTGTTTACAGTAATAATAAGTAATCTTGCAATATTAGCCTATTAGCAATATGTACAAGCCATTAAACTCTTTGAGAAGAACAGCCTGTCACATGATTTATTAGTCTCTGGAAAGCAGGAGAGTGACAATTTCATGAGGTACAGCAGTAAATAAACCCAAAGGAGAAAAGCTCACTCCAAGTTCTGAAATTTGGGTTCTAAAGAAATATCCACCCCAATAATGGCAGACTTTGTCTATAGAACAAAGACATGCACAGTTTTTCAAGAATGACCCAGTTAAACTGCTGTAAACTGTTTATTCTGAATATATGTAACAGACCTCCACCCACCGTTTAGTGTAGTTTAACTAGATTAATTTAAGCTGTCCCTTTAGTTAACCACTGCAACTTTCTCCAGCAGGAAGAAAAAAAAAAGTGATTTCAAGCCAGGTCATTCATTGTTTCTGTCCAAACCAGTTTGTGATTCTTCTCACTTGGGAACAAGTGTGTCCCATTTCAATTCTTGTGTTGGAGTCTGCATCAAAAATATCAGAAGGCGTAAATTAAAATGAACTGCTGTTTCAATTCAAGTGTTCACATAGGGAAGAAGTAAAGATGGAGATTCCTGATATGCTTATTAGCCTGCTTATGTATATTGTATAGCCAGTTAAACTTTGCCTAAGATACAATTGAACATACTTAGTCAGATTAGAAAATATTTTTTCTTTTCATAGCAGAGATTAGAGCATTAACCACAGCTATAGAAAATCAGTGTTCAGTGCCTGCTCTACTATAGATATCATAATACAAATGACCTTGGGCAAGTCACTTAGCATATATTTGCACTGCAGTCAGACAACCTAACCTTAAAGTTCAGCATTCCTGAACTTTTTAGCAGCACCACTAGACCACTGTCAACCCCCACTGCTTTCAAAGGCCACTGTGGCCCCCTATAAAAATTTTAATCAAAAGCACCATTGTGACAACTTTGTTTTATATGGTTCAGCAATTCACTTACTATAAATTGGGAATTGCAGATGGGAATCACTCCAATGGCATGGCTTCAGTGAAGGTTAAATGCTGATGGTCTCAGACAGATTTGTGCGTCCCAGGCTGCTTTGTCTATGCTTCCATGAGTGCCTGAGTGCCTGAGTTGGTCACTGCCACCAACACAGCCATGCTTGTCCTTGCTGCTGCCACACTTCCCCATGGCAGTGAAGACAGGGCCTCAGCTCCTCAACTCTAAAAGGATCAGTCTACCTCACAGGTGCAATCTGACCATAAATGATCAAAAGTCTGAGGAATGCAGATGCCTAGGGTTAATGAGAGTATTTAATATATAATAAATATATATACTTAATATATAGTCTTAAATACACTAAGCAGTTATCTTCTCAACTTTCCCTAGGAGCTTGTGGGAAGCCCTATTGGATAGATGTATGAGAAACCTCCTAAAATGAAGGTGGGAGGTTATATAACTGTCAAAAATTATCTCAGCTCTGTTGGTTTAACCAATGTCTGATTCATCTGACCTCTCTCTAGCTTGACTACAATGGGGATTAAAAAAAAACCAAATAAGTACCAGACCATTTTAAAAGAACAGAAGGTGTTAAAAGAAAAGAGGTTGTGTTATAATGAGCAGCTCATGGCCAGCAACCACTTTCACAGATGCTAGAATCTGATAGTTTGTTTCGCTTTGAGCTCAGAATTAATGTGATATACCTGAACGTGTGGAATCTTCAGACTTGACTCTGAAATCTTAAGGTATTGCACACTTCTGGTTGAAGGGAGTGGGAAAGGTACCTACCTGCATATCACTTCCAGAGGATATCGAGTAAGGGGCAGCAAAAATAAAATTTGTACACATACCAGATTTGGGGCATTCAGAATACAGCCCGGTGGTGCTGTTCTTAGATCTAAATCAGTTTCTTCATCCTTAGTTACAAATTCTTTTCTACAGGGCAAGCAACAGAAGACTGTTTTCTTAGGGAAACTTTACCTGAATTAGGTTAAAAAATATACATTGCATACCTCATCCCCTTAGATTACTACTTTTTTAGGAGTAAACCAACTGCATGGTATCATAAGCTTTTCCAGTGGTTAAAACAACCAAAGGAAACCCAAGAGAATCAAACCAGGAGCGGGTCTTGTGCTTACCAGGAGTGAGTCAGTGAATATCTTTCTGTGGGGAAAGAGACCATGAACATGAATGCCTAAATAGATCAGCTCTATCTATAAATTGTATTGATTTCAAATTCTAGAAGATGAAAGTCTACACAGCTGCCCTACTGTGATTGCTATTTTTTTCTCTGCATGTTTCTTCTGGATGCTCTTGGAGAAAGAGAAAAATCTTTCAACTACAGTAATCTAGTCTTCACTGTGCAATGACTGAAATAGATATTGTTTTGTCACTTATAGGTTATTGCTTAATAGAAAGTTGTCTGAGCTAGTTTCATAAGATTGGGTGATGACATATCTGAATGTCACTTATCCAAATCATGTAAGCAGGATCTGTATCTTAATAAAGATCCTCTGTGCTGGGTTTGAGTTTCCTTTGTGTTATAAACTATGTTCTGATGCATAAAAATGAATAATTTAGTCATAATTGTACCACCACAAGTTTATTGTAAACTGAAGCCACAATTGCAATCTTGGATGCCACAAAAAAAATTGCTATAAAAATTTCTAAATAGTTCTTTCTTCAGCTGCAATAACATACCATTTTGAATTACCAGATGTTAAAACTCTATAGATTATCTGACAGCGAATAGTATATCAAAGGCAGTTCAAAAGAAAAGTAAAAATTATTTTCATATTTTAATCATGTCTGCAGATGGGTTAGGATAATCTGTCATAGTTCAGAAGTAGAAAAGAAAAGAAACAGGCTTGATGTAACTTGGCTCAGTGGTCTGTTTCAAATATGGTTCACACACAATGGGAAAAACAAACAGGTCTTTGCTTGAGAAAACAGATGCAGCAGGCAAGTGCAAAATCTTACTCTGCTTGTTTCAAAGAGAAAAAGCAAAAAACAAGCTTTTTAACAGAGAGAGACAGATCACTCCAAAAATTCCACGTAAACTTTTATTTTTTTGAGATTCTTTCTGTACTTCCCCCTTTCTCTTCCCCCCCCCCAATCAACAAACCCAGATGTTCACAAGAATACACTGTGTTCCTCAGTATCCCCCACATCCTATGCCATGCAAGTGCAAGGGGAGATGCCTTACTGCAGATGCACAGGAATTCCTCCTGTTTGATTGCCGTGCTACAAAGTGATGTACAAACACTGTGCACCTTTTATTTCTGCATGGGAAAAGCTTCATGGACTGAACCCACTTCAGAGTCCCAAAGATGTAGAAATTCAGTGCTTACAAAAACTGTGACTTCTGTCAGCTTTGGGGGTGCACGTCCTGGGTCCTTGTCTTTTTAGCAACACGATGCTCCTCCTTATTTTGGCACAACACTGAAATAAAGAATGGGATCTGGAAGACAGAAAAGAGCCTTATACTAATAAAAACTTCAATACGTAATTATTATCTTCCTTTCTAATTTATCAAAATTATAGGGACTGGTGTTTCAGTTTATACCCACCTGAGCATAGTCACGGTCATCTGCTTGCCCACTTTTATCAAATATATTCATTCACTGACACCTACTTTTTTTTTTTTCAGCCAGTCTGCGATTTAAATGCGCAATCACTTGAGTCTGCAGAAGGCAGCAGGCTTAGATTTTCTACACAGCATCACCTTCAGCTAGTTTAGTTACGTGTGAATACCTCTTAGCACCCTTCAAGCAGCCTGTATGGAGGGGTTTAAAGCAGCGAATTAATCAGGAAAATTAAAAATAAACAGAGTAAGTGGCAGGGGTTGGGGGTAGGATGGGGAACCAAAGTGCCTGACATTAGGGGGAGGGGGGGAAAGCAGTGCTTCACGATAAAGAATAACCTGGATGTTTACTGTGCCGAGAGCAATGCCTGCGCGGCTCCCCTCCCCAGGCCGGATGGCTCCACAGCTCAGTGCCTTGGCTTAGGTGCAGTTGGAAATGCCCGAGAATGGCTCTTTGTTGATTTTCGCCTGTGCGAGAGAGCCTGGTGTTGCTGCTAAGCGAAGTGCTATTGAATTTGCTCACTCAGGCAGAACACTCGACAGGAAGGAAGGAAGCAGCCATTCTTTCTGGTCCTATTGTCTGGCCACCAGGCTTAGGCAATCAAACAGGCCTGTGGCCCGGCTGCGGCTCCCGCTCCGGCCGCTTCTGGTGGGCCCGCCTGGGGAAGGGGGGCAAGGGGGGACGGCCTTCTCATGGCGTTCACTTTGTTTTCCCTGCGCTCCTTCACATCTTTCCACGGCTCAGGGCCTCAGGTAGCCGCTCCGCAGCCCTCCGCGTTTCTGCGGGGGAAGGGGGTCAGGGAAGGGAGGGGTGAGGGTGGCCGCAGGTGGGGAGGAGCTGCTCAAAGCCGCCTCTGGTCTGCCTGGGTGATACAAGAAGGTGTGGGAGCAAACTGTGGGAGCCTGTGAGGAGTCCTCCCAGTGCTAGGACGTGTTTGTGCCACCGTCAGAAGGCGTGCTCGGAGCTGGGGGCTATTTAACAACACATTCATCGTTCGGGCTGACAAAGGTGGGAAAGGCTGCAAAGGAGCAAACCTGCCTTTTGAAAGAGGCTCGTTCAAAAATGTAGATTTCTGATTCCCCCGTCTGTATCTCAGTTAGCTCCCTCTTCTCCCCAGAGAACAGGAGAGAATGAAAAACAAGGCCAAATGGACTGGTTTTGCGAGGCAGAGTGCTGCAAGCCTGGCCTTGGCTTGTAGTAATGCCACGGGGTCAGGGTGAGTTCTCCTGAGGATTCCTGACAGAGGAAGTGCAGAAAGGGTAACTGGTCTAAACATCCAGAACGAAAATCTGTCTGCCACTGCATTTTACCTGACCCTCTTACATCCCTGCAAGGTTACAGCACTTCCAGTCTCAAATCAGGTGGCAACCATAACACTGCAGTGTGGATTTTGCTATGAAGCCTATTTTGTTCTTACAGAAATGTGACCATAGCCCCCTACTATGGTTTGGTGGCTGGATGACAATAGATGCAGCCTTTTTTTTTTCCTTTTTTTTTTTTTTTTTTTTTTTTTTTGTGTATGTGTTTTGTTTGTGGTGGGCTTTTCTCAGACAATAAGATTCAGTGTGGTTCAGGTATTAGGTGTGTCAATGATATCATTCTTAACGTTGCATGACCGATAATAACATCAATAGATGGTAATATCGCCCTGCAAATCTGCAATGAACAGTGAGATAGTAAAGCCTGGCAAATGCAGAGGCATATACTTACACAATGCTATTTCTGCAAGCACAGGGATGGTTTCACGGTGGTTTAAGTGACTTCAAATCCAAACTGCAGTGCTACCCTCCTTGCTGGTGTCCCCAGCTGCATGTTCCAGAACTATCCTTGTGGTCAATGTTATTGATTCAAGTCCTGCTTGTTTGCAAGGCGTGGACACAGGTGGAAACAAATGACAGTCCTCAAGCCTGATCCCCTGGTCACTGCACAGAGGTCGGCGTTGGCAGAAAGGGCAGGAGGGAGCAGGGGAGGCAGGCAGAATGGGGAGCTGCCACAGCTTAGGCTCGGAATGGTGGATATTGCCTTTTGGCATGGCATCATGCTGAGACACTTCAAGTGCTATGGTCGTAGCCAGAAACATTTGCTTATACCCAAGGAAGCCAACAGTCTGCAGTTGCATTTTGTTAACTTCAACAGAAAGGCATGGGTTGCTTTTAGAAATTGTGGCCTTGGAGTATACCCAGCTGCCCACTTTTGTCTTAATAAAACAGCGGTTGATCAACCTGCTCACACCTATCCTGGTGCAAATCTAAAACAACCTTGATGAGTTAATGGAATTATTCCAGGTTTGTCAGTGCAACAGCAAGAAATCAGCATGAATGAGACCATTTTTTTCCCTTTTAATGGAAACAAGTAGGAATTACTAGAACAGAGAGTAATTTGTAGCCAAGAAGAGCTCTTGAATTTGGATTTTATTACAAACTTGAAACTTGGGCCAGTTTTGGTGGGATTTGTAAACGCTTTCAACAAATGTGGGCTGAGTTTCAAGTGAGGCTGGGCTCCGTTGTACAGGAATCTGGGCCAAGGTATGGTTTTGAGTGGAAAGCATATGAAACTCACTGCATTTTCCTGATTTAGAGTCTTGCTTTGAAGTACTTGGTCCATTCAAACTCAGAACTTAAAGCAAAAACCCACATGGTGTTAGTACACTGAAGCCAAAACTATAATAAAACATTCCCTTGAAACCCCATGATTCAGAGCTAGCACAGATCCAGATAGTCCTTATAAGATGCTACCAAGGTTGTTATTTAGCATATCTATTTCTTAGTTCAGAACTTTAAATACTCTTTATTGATTTATATAATCTTTACTGATATATAATCTTTACTGATAAACAAAAATTTAAATAATCTTTACTGATTTCTGTATTATTGAAAGATCTTATTGTAAGGGCAGCAGTGGGGTGGAAAGATTCAAGATTATTACTTTTGTTAAGACCTTGTCTTATGCATGTATAAATAATAATTTTTTTTTTTTAATCTCTTCCTAAACAAAATATGTTCTTAGTGACCCTACTCTATGGGCTTTCACCATGTTCAGAACTACGGTGTCTGTGCCTTCCAACAGTGTGTGAAGCAATGTGAGTAACATCTGTTAAATGCTGTTTATTGTCTCATCCTTTCCCTCGAGATGCAGCATGTGCAATGGAGTGTCTTGTTCTGATTGGGTGGATTTTTGGTGTCATGATTTGTTTTATGATCAAGAAACCACCTCTTTGAAAATGTCTTATAGGAGAAATGAGTTATTACTGGTTACAAGCTGGAGGGAAAATTTCCCTTGAGGTACTAATGACATATTTCTTTCTTTTCTTCCTCTTTTTTTGTTGTTGAGAGACATTTTCACTTTATTGCAACAGTCACATACACAAGCTCTGTTCACATATTCACAAAGCTCGACAGAACTTCTTTCAAGCATTTTTATTTGAACACAGCCTAATGCAATTAGCGTTACTGCCCAGCACACCTTTGATAGCACAAAATGTGCTACAAGATGACTTCTCTCTCCTTTACTGATGCATCAAAATTCCATATGAGCACCCACCCAGAGACTCGGCTGGCTTTTGCATTTCCAGTTAACTACCCTGAATCATAAAAGTCTGGGAAAGGATCTGAGAAACGTGTTCCTTCAACTACCACAATGCTTCGGCAGTAAGGCTGAGTTTGCATTACATGTGGAAAATCATGTGTCGGTTCGTACTCCTGTGCAGATCTGTTAGGCATTTCTGAAGGGGGCTGGCTGCCCCAGCTGCCTGCCTGTAGGACATGCAGAGAGCTAATGGGAGGTCTGCATCTGACTTGCTGACAGGATCAGGCCCTGGTGCTATAAGCAATCAAAATATTTTGGGTTTTCATCAATAATCCCAGTACGAAGGATCTTCTTTCTTGCACAGATCTGTAATTAATCTTTGGCTGCTTTGGCTGTGATCCCAATGGTCCAGGCCAAGAGGAAGTAGGGACAGGGCAGTCAGAATAGAGGTCACTTTTATACTTCATCAAAATCAAAGAGATGGCCTGAAAAGTCACCTGGAAGAAGGAACTGAATTGTTCTGAAGGTGAAAAAGAGAATGAAAAAAGGACAGCTTTGGGGATGGCATGATCAAAACTGGCAAGTCCTGTTATTCCCTTCTGCATATAATGCAATGTGAAATAGAGCAACAGTTGGTTTTAAGGATATTAGAACACTGGAGAACACTGTATTACGTAACTGTCATAACACAGTGTCTCAACTAGAAGACTGATTTGCCATTATTTCACCTCATACACATATTTTGCCCACATACACTGGGTATTAGAGCTTAATTTTTGAAAAAAATCATGCTTCTGGAGCATGCATGCCAGATGAAATGCCTCTCTGTATCAAAGCTCTGCAAAGTGGAGGAGGAATGAAGAAAACATCATGTTCTTGATTCCTCCAGCCAATGTACACTGGAGCCCAGCTGCCCTAACCCGCACAGCCTATGTGCAGTCAGAGCATTGATGAAGCAAGTACGTGCTTGCTCCTCTCCCTTTCCTTGACCTAACAACTTGCATAGGGCAAACCCAGGTCATAACAGAGGCAATGATCTGGCCTGTAAAATTTCTTTGGACAGAGAAGTTAATGCTAATTCAGCATGTTTCAATTTGCTGAGTTCCGCCAGGGTGCACATGAATTTTAACAGAATTCCCACATACTAGATCCTACGTTGTGTTGTGGAGTTTCCTCAGCACAGATAATCTACACCTAGTTTGATAAAAAGCTGGTTCCATTGCTTTTTTCTCATTGCTGTTTTGATGTGAAAACAGTGGATGTCTGAGGTGCTTTGGTTTCTTGTCCCACTTGTCCCTTCCCCCGTATGGATTCTAATGAGTTTGTTAGCTGTCATATCTTGGAGATTAAGCTTTTGTGCAAGTTTTTTTTTTCAGGACAGACATGTGTAATGGGGCCCTTTCAGGCAGAGAACAAGTGTTCCTTAATGGCCGTACACAATTTTTTGGCACGCATCCATACATTGGCAGTATGATCAAGCATATCCCAGCAGACAGTAGAACGGAGATAGTTGTAGGTATACAGAGGTATAGAGATCTTGGGAACACAAGGAAAATTATGTCTCTGTTTTCTTTGAGGACCTCCATCAAGACTGAAGGCCCATGGCAAATTGTGATCCTGATTTCTCTGGAGTCAGCCTAAAAGACTCTCTGGAAAATTCCATACAAAACAAAAGGGGTGCTTAGCTGCCTCACTGACAAATTAGCTTATCAGCTGGAGAAGTTTTGATTTGCACTGAAATTCTCTGTTGGTTACTGAGAATCTCCCATTTAAAATTAATGACCTCATAGCTGATGAATGATGAAGAAGAAAAGGAAGTGTTCTGAAGACCAAACAAAAATCATCAGGTGAAAGGGGCTCTCTGTGATTATGGAATAAAAACTAGTCATTAGGGCTTAAAAAAAAAAAACAAACCCCAAACAACTGGAGCTCTTCTTCTCAGTGGTACTAGTGGTAGATGTGTTCTTGGAATAGAAAATTACTTTCTCCCCTCAGGATCTGTGGTACTATAAAAACAGGTCCCTTCAGAACTAACTTCCAAATCTGCTAACATAATACTCCTCTGAAGAAGAATAAGAATGTTTGGTTTACAGTTAATTAAGGGTTTTGGGTCAGGAACTTGAAATCTATCCATTAGGGTATGGTTTGCTGGTTAAGGAGTCATAAGTGCGAGTACACTTTATTAAATAGCTTGAAAAAGACTCTGTTTAAAGTATGATAGATGCTTTGGTACATTTAACAATAGATAAATAAATGTTGAAAGGAGAGAGGTGTTTCTCCTTGGCAATAACTAGATGTGT